TTGCTTACAACAGTTCGAAAAGTAAGACCACTAATTTTACTCATTTTGAATTAGTTTATGGAGCTAATCCACTTGTTCCTCTTGATTTGAGCAACGCACACTCTAGTATCCCCTCTAACTTAAAGGCCGAGGTCTAACTTAAAGGCCGAAGAACCAGAGCTACTGGAAATTGTCAAAACTCATGCTAGAGCCAAAAAAGCACAGTATGAGAAGAAGAACGAGGCCTACCAAGATGGCAAGTTCCAAGCTAAAACCTGTTTGTGGGAATTTTTAAAGAAGGTGGACTTAGTGCTGGGTTCAACTTTAAAGGAAAGGAACGATTTCCCTTCCAAAAGAAAGAATAAACTTATGCCCCAAAGCCGAGGGTCCTTACAAGATCATCAAGAAGGTAAACTAGGAATGCTTACAAGGTAGAGCTGCCTCCTCTTACAATTTCCAACACCTTCAATGTAGTGACCTTAAGCCAAAATACAAGGAAACACCATGTCAACTTCTGACCAAGTTTGAAACACCTTTTCAAGGAAAGGGGAGAATGATGGAGGTCCATCTAGCCTAAGCCTTACAAGCTGTCCTAGACATGGGCCTTTGGTCTTTGATTCCATTAGTGAAGTGATGAAGCAGTCCAAGTGAAGATGGGCTTGGTGGGAGTGACATGGTTTCAATCTGAGCTACAAGCTCTACAGCTCCTTTTAGGGCCATTTGGGTTCCTTCAAACCATCATCTTTGAAGACAACAATCAAGGAGCACTTGGTTGATCATTGACTATGAATTTCAGCTCATTTGTGTTGTTTTCAAACTTAGTTAGGTGTTCTTTGAATTGTGCCTTTGAATGAGTTTTTTCAAACTTTGAATGAGTTATTTCAAACTTAGTTAGATGTCCTTTGAATAAGTTGTTTTCAACCTAGTTAGGTGTATCTTTGAATGTGTTGTTTTCAACCTAGTTAGGTGAACAACACATTCAAAGGGAGTTTATGGCTATCTCTTGTTTCCCTATATAAATATAAAGGGATTTTGTGTACTTTGAAAGATAGATTTGGAATAACAAGAAAGTGTTAATCACATTTGGGTTTTATTAGTTTCCAAAAACTATTGGGTTTTGCTTGTTTCCAAAAACAATCATCTATCTTTTTAGGTACTGTAGCACGGATGCTTCTGAGTTCCTGTAGCAAGTTACTGTAGCACTCGATGCTTCTGAGTTCCTGTAGCAAGTTACTGTAGCACTCGTGTTTCTCTATCAAAACCATAGCCCTTTCCACCACGCCATCAATCTACCACTTGACTTTACATGCCCTCGACCTCTACTCTTGCTCCAGCCCCTATTCTCTATGACAAGGGCTTGTGAACTGGTACTGGCAACATCTCTTCGACCAAACAAGTCTGTTTAGAAGATCAGATCTAGCCTCAGCCAATTTGAGGAAAATGAGGCTGGAAATGGAAGTTCTTAAAGCCAAGAATGAAAGCCTTAAAACCACTCATCCAAAAATACTCCCCCAAATAACCCGAAGTCCTCATGAAGAAAGAGGAAACTGACTAATGAAGATTCAATGGAGAGGACCAGACCTTGTGTTGGGACGTGGAAGGTTTTTAGAGGGAGAGGGAGAGGATTGTTTCATGGAGGATTTGGCCAAGGGGGAAGGCGTTTGCCACCACCCATCCCGTGTTGAAGGACAAGAAGAATCTTTTCAACTATAAAATCGAATTACCTGGAATTTCATTGGCTAAGTCCGATGTTGATGGCCTATCTTGAATGATATACTCAATGGAGAGATCCTTTTGAAAACCGAGGGAGGTGTCCGAAGACAAAAGAATGAAGCTCGCTGCCCTATTAAACGTTAAGGGATATGCTGCCCTTTGGTGGGATAATTTGCAAAAACGAAGGATGAGGGAAGGGAGGCCTCAAATTACTCAATGGGATAGGATGAAAGAAGAGATGAATGCGGTGTTCTTGCCACCCCATTATAGACAGAAAATGATTGAGAAAATGTTGAGCCTCAAACAAGATACTAAACTCGTGGAACAATACACCATGGAATTTAAGGAAAACAATACACCATGGAATTTGAGGAATTCTTATTAAGTGTGAGGTCAAGGAGATCGAGGAGCTGATCATGGGGCGTTTTCTCCAAGGCTTGCGTTCCGACATCCAAGACATGGTAAGCTTCTACCCTTATGAATCTCTTATTGAATTGAAGAGATTAGCATTAAGAAGTGAGACAAGTTTGAAGCATTCACACCAAAGCAAAACCAATATCAGACCTTATAACTACAAACTGAGCTCTAGTAGCCCCAATTCTACCCCTATTAAGACCACACACACACCCTCACCAAAACCCCCTCTTAAAAAAACCCCCTCTTAAAAACACTTCCAACACACCAAGAAACACCCAATCTGTCCCACCATCCAAAAGTACCTCTAAGAATGCTTTGAAATGTTTCAAATGTCAAGGGTATGGACACTTCCAATCTGAATGTCCTTCAAGGAAAGTAATGGCCCTTAGAGAGATAGAGGAGATTGAGGAAGAAATATACCATGCTGATTCTGTTGTAGTAAATAGTGAATTGAATGTTGATGAGGGAGATATGCTAGTTTGTGATGCAATGGAAGATGGGGAGTGTTTAGTGATGATGCGTATTTTGAATATTGAATTGAAAAGAATGAGGAGGATTGGAGGAGGAAATCCCTGTTTCACACTAGATGTTTGACAAAAAATAAATTGTGTGAAGTTATTATTGATAGTGGTGCATATGAGAATGTTGTATCCAATGAAATGGTTGCGAAGTTGGGACTAAAAACCGAGCCAATTGACAACCTTTATAGGTTGGCTTGGCTGAATTCTAAGCATGAAATTAAAGTCACTAAGAAGTGTCTAGTTCCTTTTGCAATTGGGCAATACGTGGATGAGGTGAGCTGCCATGTTATCCCAATAACATCTTGTCACTTGCTTCTTGGGAGACCTTGGTTGTATGATAAGGATGTGCAACACAAGGAAAGGCCAATACTTACACTTTTTCCATGAGCGGTTAAACACTATTTGCTCACACCGTTACTACCCGAGAAGCGATAAAGAAGAAAAGAGAAAGTTTGGAATTGGTTGGGATTGTTATCCAATGATGGAGAAAGAGTGAGATCATGGAAGGGCTTGCCTGCTATGTTCCAATTGATGTGAAGGATGAGCCCAAACAGAATCATTGTGATTCCAAAAGAGGTACAATTTTCTTATTAGAGATGTTTGAGAGAGCTTTTCCCGAACACTTAACCTTATCGGTTTGCCCCCTCTAAATCAATTACAAACATGAGATCAGTTTTGTTCCGGGAGCTCAAATTCCTCATAAGCACTACTATAGAATGAGTCCTAAAGATGAGTGAAATGAATACAAAAGCAAGGTTTGATGAATTGTTAAAAAGAGGAGGCTTTATAAGGAGGAGTGGTTCTCCTGTGTTGTGCCAGCCTTTGTTGTTCCTAAAAAAGAATGGCAAAATTGGAGAATTGGTGATAGATTCAAGGGCTGTTAACAAGATAACGATTCAAGTACAAATTTTCTATTCCAAGACTTGATGAATATGCTTTATCGATTGCATGGAAGCTTCCAATTTTTCTCAAGGATTGATCTTTGCAAATGGATTCTACCAAATTCGTGTTTAGAGAAAGGTGATGAGTGGAAGACAGCCTTCAAGGAACCAATGAGGGCCTGTATGAATGGTTAGTCATGGCAACAACCATCCCTATCAGTTGCTAACTAATTTAAATTTATATTCATATTGTAATATATTAAACCTTATAAAGTATTACTAATAATTTTTTAAAATTTAAGACTGTTATGTTATATAAATATATATATATACACACACACTATAAAGACATACCTCTGATCCTGTCCAAAGTTGTTCAACATTACTGGTCCACTTATCTGAAACTTAAACAAGATTTTCAGCGCAGAAATTTGATGGCAGCGACTTCAAAAGGAAATCTAAACCGAATGGAGATACCTCAACTGATGAGGAAAAGATAGAAGGGCCATGTTGAAGTGCACGTTATCTACATGGTTTGACGCTGGTGGAACCAGAAGTATAGAAATTGATCAATCTAAAAAGACGAACTCATTCTTGCAAAAGCATTTGATTCCAAGTACCATTTCTCTAGGCTTTGGACATGTCTTAATATATGCCTTTCTATCGTTTTTTGCTTCCCTTCAAGTTTCAATACAAAGGACAATGACAAACTTCATAACCTTCAGAAAAGTTAAATATTAGGTTGAAATTCAATTTAATGTCACCTTTCGTTAAATTGGAACTGAATATAATTTTCAATATAATGATCACAGACAGTCCATAAACTATCACATCAACACTTGTCACCAGACAACACCACCAATTAGCTAGGGACAGTAGTCAATTCAAGGATCACCACAACTATGATACACGCAACTCCTAGCTATGAGCATTTCTTGTGTTGTCGATATGGTTTTCACATGTTTGTATATAATTTTAAATGTTGTTTCCTAATGTCATTTCCACATTTCATATTTCTACGTTTCTGTTTTTTGTGCCGACATACATCTTTAACATTTTATTATATTTAATTTTTTTTCCAATATTTAATAAAAAATTTAAACATATAAATTTTCTTTTTATAATTTATAAAACATTTTTGTAGTTTATAAATTTAAAGTTTTTACTATTATTAGCTAATTTTGAAATTTGCTACCTAACGGGGCAGAAAATGAACCGGATTGGACCACTAACATGTTCTTATCTCTTTTAAATGTTATTTCCTTTTCTCATAATTCACCATAAATTTAAACATTTTTATAATTTTTAAAGATTTTTGTAGCCAAATAATACAAACTTGAATTCTTTGAAAAATAAGATTTTTAGCAAGAAACATTTTCCGAAAAGAAATTTCCGAAGGGTATAAACTTTATTTCTAGAAACAAAAGGAAACCTGAGTAAAAAGCATTCCTATTCCATAAAAAAAAGAACAAAAAAAAGACTTGTTTACCTTATTTTTTGTCAATTACTGCGTGAATTTCTTCAGGGATCCCATAATTCTGCTACGCTTGCAGGTCTTTAGATTCTTTGTCGCTACAATTTCCGACCATTTCTTGTAGCAAATCATCATCAACAACTTATTTATTCAAGCGAAAATCTAATCAAACCTTATTCCTTAAGAACAGCAAATGTTATGTCGGGGAAGAAGCCACAAGCTTCGAAAACATTCCTCACAATCTCTTTGCTCTCCATATTTTGTTAAATAAAAACATGCAATATCAAGAAAAACGCCTCTTTTTTGTTGTAATTCATCCAATCCATCAAAACTTATTTTCAGCACATCATTGACATTCAAGTCAGGAATAATTGCTAGTTGTCTTGCACCCTTTGCCATTCGATAAGGCTTGTTTCATTCAAAAAAAGAGGCCCAAAACCTTGAGAGCCAAAGGAAGTCTTGACATTAAGATGTGAACTTTTGGGAAGAGGTCCAAATTACTCTATCTTGGGAATTGTTTTGTTTGAAGGCATACTGACTGAGAGCTGAAGGGCTTGATCACTGTTTGGATTACTGAACTTCGTATATACTCTGCACTCCATGTTGCAACCAGCAAGTTGCTTATCACGAGTTGTTATGAAATCTACTTCCTTGACCGAACCAATTTGGTTCTCTAGCTAGGCTTCAATTGGTCAAATCATCCACATCATCAAGAACAAGAAGAACCTTTTTTGTGACCAAGGCCTTCTCTTGATCACATTAAGACTAGCATTGAAACTCCATGTACTTAAGCTTCTTTTTTCTATTAAAATTTTTCTGTAGAAAAAGGCAATACCATGTCTTCTGAAATTTTCTTTAATATTTTTTCGGAAAAAACGCAATGAATCTCAAAATTGGCTACAAATTCCATATCATATATGACTCTGGCAACAGTTGTTTTACCTATGCAAAACCCATACCCCAAATTCCCTACCATATGGACGACATTTGACTCCAGACATAAAATTTTTTCCATTCAATAATATAGGAGCCCATTCCAACAAAAGTCATTGGTATTATTGGTGATGCATCATCCATTTGTTCTGAAATATCTGTTACAATTTGCTGCCTATGAGGACCATCTCCTCCCTGTTTAAATCAGAAACATAAATAGAGCAAATCAAAATTAAATTATTAACTTAGATTCATTTTCTTGCTGCAAGAATATTGTAGTGCTAGAAAAATAAAGGAAATTAAGATTATCTCCTTCGTTCTCGGTTTCCAGATTCTTGGAGAATAGTTGAAACCATTCCATTTGGAGTTGACTATTATTAATTAAGATGTGGAATAATTGTTCCATGGAGTTAGAAAAACAAGCATTGATTTATATTTTAATTTCTCCTTAATTTGGACTTCAAATTTGCAATTATAAGTAGTGCTAGTAATTAAAAAAGCACCCCCCACCAGAGAAAAAAACAAGGTAAATAAATCTTACCATTGTTGTGACTCCCAGCCCACAGATTGTAGCCAACTTTCCGTCCAGAACTTGTCTCCACCTTTTGGCACTTTCTCCATCTCTTCCTTTGAAATTTTCTTTTTCATGCCTTGTAAAAATGCTTCGGGAAATCATTCTTCTCTGGTTTTTTGACATCAGACGGATCTACGTTTAAAGAAAATGGTACCACTTACATGCCCTGTTGTTGTCTCTGAGAAATCTATTGATCTTCACAAGTTTATCCAAGCACTCATGCTGAAAAATATAGTTTTTCTGAGAGAACAACGACTAAAAACAGGGACTCTTCCATGCTGTTAAAATCCGTTTCAAGAGATTTGCCTTCATCTTTGATTGATGTTTATGACCTTTGAGACTCAACTCGTTATGGAGGAAGTAAACAAAATTGTTGTTTGCTGATATAAAGCTCAAGGAATAACATGGTTCTTACAGCCAAAATTGGATCCTTTGTGGAAGTAAAGAAGAGCGAGAAGCCATTAGAAGAGCTCCATGAATTGGAAAGCAACGGTAAAGGTTGGAATTTTAAGGTCAGGTGACATCTGTTCGACCGCGAGTCTTGCAAGTCTACAACCACTTTAATTATTCAACGGTTTATAGGCCCACAACTTACTTCAATTCAACTACGGACAAAGACTTTTTAAGTCAACTACCAATAGTATGAATTAAATTAATTGAATTCTTAAAAGTACAAATCTCTCTCTTTT